ATATATCTTCGCTGGCCTGGGAGTGCCTTGGGATCCCCCAGTCAGAGCTGGTTGATGTGGCCAGGGAAAAGAAAGTTTGGGGCTCTCTGCTGGAACTGCTACCCCCGCGACCCGACCACGGATAAGCGGGAGAAGATGTATGGATGGATGGATGTATGGAGTTGTGGACATTTAGAAGACAGGAAGGGTGCTATCGAATTGCATTATGGGATATGGATCCACCGTTTTTGGAACTTCATTCATACTTAGTCAGGGGGTGTTTCTCAATCGCGAGTACGCTTGCTTGGTAGCACATGTCTTCCGAGCATCTTACTTCAGAAACGAGGCAAGAATACTTCCTGGCATTCGGAAAACGAAGAGTGGAACAGGCGAGCAAGTGTGCAGGTGTGCATCACACGAGAAGCCCGTCTTACATTTTCCGCCACAGATTTGGGGAAATTGGTCCGTGCGTAAAGCAGTGTGGGGATTTTAAGACCGCAGAGTCTACACATGTGCAGCCTCGAAATTTCTCCAAACGAAGTACGCCGGGCTCGGTAGAATTCCAAGTATGCTGGACATTGGAACAGTACTTTGGCGGCACTCGATGACGTAGTATGCTTGAAATAGTGGCTCTGGAGCAGCTTTCCTCACGATTGAGAAACACCCAGGATTTCTCAGCCTTTGCTGCTTCACCTTTTTCCTTTTCTCAATTCTCTCACTCTCAGGTACTGGATCTTTACTGATGTAACACAAATAATCACAGGGTGTCCTTTCCTAAAGTATAAAATCACTGGAGATAAATGTAACTCTTTGTGTCAAATCATTCTCAACATGACTGATGTTTTTCAGACCAATAAACAACATCAAACAACTCACTTTACAATTGAGATAGTAAACATATCAAATATATATGTTTAAGTGAAAAAGTAAGAAACAAAACAAGAATACCGAGCCGTCAAGATCTTGGATTTATGTTTCTGGTTTTATTTGGAAAGGTTTTCCATCTGTATTCCATATTTTTTTACTTCCTGTGTTTGTCTGTCCTGGGCTGAAGTCGAATAGTCCATTTAGCTTAGGAACCTTCCTAACGGAGTGAAATGACCCGGAAGTCCCTCAGTGGCAGCCATGATAAGTGCCGTTCGAATTCTCTAGAATGATAGGAAAGGAGGTTTTCAAACTTCCTTAAAACCTCCTTTAGCTTAGGAACCACTGGACCTCCCTTGACGAAAGGAGAGGAGAAAATGCTGCCCCACAATGCCTTGCAGCCGCAGCATTTGCCGTCACACAACAGTCGGCCGTTCACGGAAACAAACGATTATAACGGAGAAATTATATCATGAAAGTTACGGTGCTTATTAAGCTTTTTAAAACGTATGTGGTAAGTTGCCAAAGTGCTTTGTTTTGAACGTTCATCAGTATTATAATCAAAAAGAGAAATATGAACGTTAGTTTTTACTGAAATTATCAAATAAAGTCAACATTTCACTGAGCTGTGTGGAGTTTGTTCAACTTTTAAAAGATGTTTGAATGGTGATATACACAGTGATAGGCATTAAAGACTAACGTTTATAATAAATACATTTGTATTGATTTTAAGATATTTTCATAGTCCATACAATCATACGTATTGGGATCATTTGTATAAATGTGGACCGGAGGGAGAGGGTGACGAGCATAAGTTTCACTTTCATTTTCTTATTTCAATTCCAACTTTGGTCATGAAGAATATGTTTCTCTGTTGTCCACGTTCATAAAGCATAAAGCAACAGCATCAGAGCACGGTGCAGAGTCTCTAGATGAGTCCGTGGTTCTTATTATACATCCATGTTGTAGTCCGCTGTATAGAAAAATGTAGTTTCCATAGTTTCCCCACAGCAGCAGACGCATCATAAACATGTCGGATAGTGAAAGTGCATTCGAATTCTCTAAAGTACCGCAGTCTCTTCTCCTAAGTTCTTTTGAATTCTCCTATCCACTATCCCTTAACCCCGTGACGTTTCACTCAGAGCCTCAGCGTGTCACATGACAGACAACAGCCATTGTTGATGAAGCCACGTGTTTTCTACCCCCTTTGACTTTTGATATCCTAACAGTAAGTATGTCAAAGGAATGCAGTGGATGAAATACTGTGTTGATAAGTCTAGGTGGAGTGCTTGCTGCTCTCTCTCCTGCAGCACTGCCTTGTGGCTAGACATCAACTCCTCCAGAGAACCTAAGCAGCATTCACGACCGAGCGAGAAAGGCATACACAATGTATATAAACAACAGAAGTCTGAAATGTGCATGTCATGCTTGAACAACGCCTTAATACAGAGAAGCAGTTATGAGGTTGTCTTTCAAATCACGACAGCCATCAGCAGCCATTTTGATGCAGGAGATGCAGATTAAAAAAGGGCTGTATCAGTAGGGTTTTTACATTCAAGATCTGTATCAAGGTAGCTGATTAGGACGCATTGGGTAGGTTCTGGATTTAGAATTGAAATGTCAATCAATATTACGGATGAAGCTTTGAACTATTTGGCAAGGCTCTGTAGATTCAAATGATAACAGTTTTCATTTTGTTAAATGAATTCATTTCGATGCAGCCTTGGATAATGGCAGTGACTGGAGGCAACTCATGTGCAGCAGCATCTTTGTCAGCACAGGCCTGCTCCAGCTGCTCCTTACTGGAGGTCTTGAGCTCCTGGAGCCTTGCCCCAGACCGCTGCAGCTCTGCCTGGGTCTGGGACAGAGCTTTGAGGGTCTGGGTGTAAGTCATTCTTGAACTAAATTACATCATTCTGGTGTCTGTGGTTATTTAAACATTCCCTGATCAACGTTATTTCAGCGTCAATAAATGAGTGCGAGAGGTCAAGGAATAGGAGATAGGGTTAGAACTTAGGAGCTGATTTTTAAACTATCCGACCGCAACTCTGGCCTTACTGGATCACCTGTTCCCCATCAGCCCGGCAGTCACCTGACCTCCTGCACACCTGCTCTATCCCCTCATTAGTTTCAGCCTGTATTTAAGTCCTTGTTTTCTGTCAGTCTTGTTGGATCCTTGTATGCTGTTCTCGTCGTACATCAGTAAGTTCTGTTTTATTTTGCCTTACCTTACCTGGGACCAAGCCTTTACAAAAATATATATTCTGTTTTATTTTCTTGTCTGTCACCCTGCTCCACTATCCTTGACACAAGCAAGAATGTGTACCAAACTCAAAACAACAAAATCATAGTCTCAGTTTTAGACAATTCATTTGCAAGGAAAGCAAAAGCTGAAAAGAGCATGGTAAAAATTGAGATAAATTACATAATAGAACAACAACCTGTTGGATCAGTGGTCTTCACTATTTGTTTACATGTGAGCCGCATTGATAGGACAAAGTCAATAGAAGAACCACTTATACCGCAAAGTATGAAAAGCTGCATACAGTTATAATACACTCAAAAAACGATAGGTCTGAGTTACTCCAGTCTATCTATTTTGAGTTTGTTTAATGAAAAATATATATATTTTGAACTGAACATATTTATATCTAATAGAACCAACATATAACTATGTGATTTTAAATTAACATGATTTGTTTACGTTGCTGCAAGGGGTGAAACATAATTGGATTTAATTATACCAGCTAAAAAGCATGGCTTTTAAATGAGCAAGATTCACTTAGTTTGACCTGACGTGAATGGAATGCATTGGTTTAATGACACCTGCTAGTTTGAGACGCATGACGTTGTAATCTATCGCGAGGCACACCCATAGACTGTATATATAAAATGAACGTAGGGTCCGTGACGTCACCCATAGGATTCTGCAGAGCTGCCGAGAAGCCCTTAGTAGGCGGAGTCGGCCACTAACGGCTCGACAGTGACGTCAGAGTTCAACTCCCGCCCAGCAGCTTGCTCCAAATAGAGAGGCAAAGTCCCTCCCCTTCCGGGAGCGTCCATGGGACCCTGGAAGCGGAAAATTATACATTGAATTCAATGGAGAGAGAAAACGTATCTTTTGATCCCGTTTGAATTGTGCCACGAACTACACATATGATGTTTGTCAATTTAAAAGAACATTTTGCAAGTCAAAAAAATAAAAATGTGTCGTAAAATTGCGAAGTAACACATTTTTTTGTGTGAAACCGCTCAGTGAACTACATGTCTCTGGTCCCGCACAATACGCGTCACCAACACACAGATGGGCGTCACGTTGGCACATTTCACCTCATTCTTTCAGAATGAGAATAAAAGTATAAAACGAGGTGAAAATCACTACAAGTCTGGGCACGTTGAGAGCTGTACATATACGAAAGGGGAGTTAGTCAGTTCTGTAAGAGCCAGCATGCGGGACCGGCTTTACAAGGTTTCGGTGAGTAATATGAGTGCAATGTTTAACGTTAATGTCAGCTAGCTAACATTAACTAACAAGGTACACTAACATGTTTTGTTTTAACAACTAGTTTTCTCCTTAAGAACTTTGTGGTCTCTGTGTATGCTGTGGATAACATTAGTGTTCACAAGAACAAGGTACACTCCCGTGTTTTGTTTTAGTTGCTCTTCAGATTGAAGCGGCCAGTTTTATATCGACTATACTGTATGTGTGATCTCCTTTTACATCTCGTTGTGTCATTTGAGTTTATTTGCTGTGTGTAGATTCAAGGATTTTGGTTATCTTGTCAATTTGTTTGGTTGTCTAGGCACAGCTGTGTGACTCCCTCCGGTACACTGGTATGTGTTTTCCTAATGTAGAGAGCATTGATTAATTAATAAACTACACACTGAGTCTAGATCCTGATCAAATCCTTTTTTTTTGTTGATGAAATGTTTTTAAAAAATGTATTCATACACATTTAAAAAAAAAAATACAATGTACAATCACAACCAATACAACACAAATTACAAAAAATACAGAAAAAACAAACAATAACAACAATCAGACAAAACTATGGAAAAATAAACCCTCCCACCCCCAGATCCTGACCATCCTTGTATTATTGCTCATTCGATCTATTATAGCATGCTAACAAATGGTACTTACTTTATTTTTACAGATCTGCATGGGAGACGATGGCGCGATGCAGAGCGCTGTCTGTGATTGTGCACGGGGGATGTACAAATGCAGCCACGCTGCAGCATTGGCAATATTTGCCATGTGGCAGATCAGCTCCACAGATGTTGAGTGCCAGTGGAGGAAGCCTGGCACTTCCAAAGTAGTCCAGCCGGTGTCTCAACTCTACCAACAGCAAGAAGAGACATACAACCCACTGGCTAGAAACATCGCCACTCAGGATGTAGACTGGTTCAGGTCTGCACTGAGGGGCACACAGTGTGGCATGGCATGGCTTTTGTCACCTGAGCCAGAGCCACAGCCTCAACATCAGGCCATTGTCACCATGCCAGAGTTGGTGAAGGAGCATGGGGGTCGGGGGCTTGAGGCAATTCTTGCCTCAATGCGACTGGCAAGAGGCCAGCAAGCTGCCATCCAGACAGCCACCGTAGGACAGCAGACAAATCCTCAGTGGCAGTTACACAGGCAGGGCAGGTTGACAGCCAGCAATTTTGGTGCTGTGCTGAGGTCGGGACTTTCATCCACTCCATGCGCGTCCCTCATGAAGAGGGTGCTTGGGGGGTACCATTTAGACGGAGTCATGGCTGTCAACTGGGGAGTTGTAAACGAGGCCGAAGGGGTGAAGGCTTTTGTGCAGGCCTATCGGGTGACAGTGATCGACTCTGGTCTATTTGTGAGTGAGTCGGGTGTTTTGGGAGCATCACCCGATGGACTTGTGCAGCCATCTGCCCTGCTGGAGGTGAAGTGTCCACACAGCCAGAGGAACATGACCATCGCGGAGGCAGTCCAGTTACCATCCTTCTGTCTCCGTGAGGAGGGTGGGTCATACATTCTCAAGAAGAATCAACCATACTGGCACCAGGTCCAAGGGCAGCTGCACATCACAGACCGGAGTCTCTGCTACTTTGTTGTGTGGACCACAAAGGAGGCGATCATCATCCCCATCCCCAAAGACCCTACATGGCATGGAAATCTCCTCCTCCTGGAGAACTTCTACACTCAGCATATGCTCCCTGTGTTGGCCAGTTGAGAGAAGGACATGTAAATAAATAAATACACATACACACACACAAACACACACACACACACATGATATTTAACTAATAAACAATAAATCCCATGTTGTTGGAAAAGTAATAATGCTGCATGTATAAGTTTTTGTTCAAATATCGCAAGTGTTATCGTGTTATGTGTTCCTGATATCGTGCAGCCCTAATATTAAGGCCTTATTGTCACATGCACAATAACTACAGTGCAGTTTTGGGCAATGAACATGTTAAGTCTCAGGCCCCTCTAAAATAAAGGATATTTAAGACATATAAATAAAGAATTACTTTTACTGAACTACTACATAACTGTATTACATGGTTATATAAATAGTTTGAATGATTCATGACTGACAGAAGCTTGTTTTTACACTGACCTGTTATACTCATATATATTAATGTCTTTGTAAATTCAGTAAACCTCAACAATTCCCCTTCTGGTTTCATGCATCACAGTTCAGTAAACTGAGTAAAATATGAACCAGTGTAATCATTATAATAACTTAGGATTGTAACTCTTTAAAAAAGGTGTAGGTGGCTCTTAAAAGAGCCGTTGTGTGACTTTGGGCTGGTCTCAGCAGTTTAAGCCCTCTCCGCGGATGCAGCGGGCCAGCTGGATGTTCCCCCCTCCCCCCGGGGATCGCAGGCTGAAAGGTTTGGGAAGAGCGGAGCCGAGGCGGGACCTGCTGCGCCTGCCACCGAGCTGAAAGTTCCAGAGCTAGCTGAAGCTACCAAGCTAAGCTAACATGCTCCCCATCTGCACACTGCCGTGGCATTTTACGTTTCTAAGGTAAGCGGACATGAAACTATTCAGCAAAACTATAAATAATAATCTAAGTTATTGAGTTTTTAGCATAATACTTCAGAATCTTAAAATCCCTTAATGTTTGTATGCAATTGTGCTAAATTCAACACTGGAATCAAGCAAATATTAATGTTTGCATGACATTAGTTATTTATATTTTCATATCACTTAACTATACGTTTAATACATTTAAGTCAAGCTAAGGTACATGTGATGGTAGCTAGTTAGTGCTCTTACCTGTGAGGCCTCCTCAAAACAGCATAATAACCAGACTGTATCATTAAAACTAAGTACCAGTTCTAGATCCTTGACGTTAGACAAACAATTCAAAAGACAAAATGTATTTAAAGACCAATCTTTATTTGAAGGTGCCTCTTAACCTGATATATTAGTTATACAGTAATAGTATTGACAATCTAAAAAAACTGAGCAACTCAACAGTCGACTTTATGTTTCTTATTGTCTAAAGCAGGGGTTCTCAAAGTTTTGATGAGTGAGGGCCAATTTAGGTACCCAATATTGGATTGAGGGCCACCCAAGAAAAAACGGAACACAAAATAATTCCAAAACAAATCCTTTCTTTATTGTACTAACCAATTACCGCAACTCGCGAGATGCCTAGTTGCCATGCAACCAGTAGTCTAGCAAACTTTCCACAAGCTGCAATTCATAATTTAGGAATGACAACCCAGGGGGCTCAGTTTTACCATTCTTAACCTTCTGGAGTCTAAGGGTATTTTCTCGATTTTCGTTTTCTTAAATCACCTTTTAAATGTATTTCTTCTAACATGGCACCCCATGTGTTACATATCAAAATGTTCAGGACAATCACTGGTCTTGATATATATGCATATTGCTCACCTTAGAGCACTGTTTGATGAGATAAGTAGCTCAAAAGCTTAAAATGTGAAATCCGATTTTTGGAAAATCTTCAAAACACAAATTTACTCATGTGATCGAATTGTTTTGGTGTTTTAGATTTGGTTACCAAAGTCCTAGGATCGCAAAAGCAGTGAAATATTTGAATTACACTGTATATAAATGTGTTATTCATGTCTAAAATGAAAAACATTAAATTCAAATTTTGAGTGAAATAGGTGTTTATCACTCTACTTTCACCACAGCAGGGACTGAGATACATCAGGACTGAATAATAACTTCATATTACATACCAAGGTTCATGTGATGTGTATAAATACAAATTGAGCATTCAACCTTTTTTTTTTTCAACCAACAATTTATTATAAATATGTTTTTTTCAACCAACTATTTATATAAATATAAGAAACAGGAAAATCTCACTATTTACAATATTGAACATCAGAACTTTCAACCAACTATTCATTATAAATGTCAAGACAGTGTCAAGGTCTTTGTCTGTCTTCCAAGACAGTGGGTCTGGCTGCTGTGAAGATGGGGGTGATGGTGCATGGGCTGCTGTGTAGGTGGGGTGTACAAGTGCTATACGAGACCTCCACGAGACCTCCTTGCTGGCTGGGTTGAAGGTGATGGCTGTGGTGGAGCCTTTATGCTGAGGTGTATCTTGACCTGGTGGCAGCCGCAGATGGAGGTGGAGGCAGCTGTAGTGATGCTGGTCTGCTGGTCCTTGGTGGTGATGGCTCTGGTGAAGGCCCTTGAGCCACGGTAGATCTTGACCTGGGGGCCGGCACAGATGGATGTTGTGGCTGCTGGATAAACGCCGCCTGTGTAGGTATTTCCAGTTACTTTACATTCAGTATAAAATCACAGACACACATATACATAGGCTACATCTGATTACAAAGTATCATCTGTACAGGACGGTAAAATAATAACAGGCACACATATAAATAAATCTATGACAAAGTCTCATCTGTACAGAACAGTATGATAAAATAATCGATGGCAAAAACATGTCACTGTAAATGTCTCCGTTGTGGGACGAATACATTATTAATTTAATCATCTACACATGTAATCTCACTTTTACACACCAAAATAACGTTAACACAGAGTAAACGTTTGCTAATGGAGAGTCTATTTTGTCCCAATAAAAAGTTCATGACTATCGATAAAAAATATATATCAATAAACCTATTGTTCATTTTCGCGGTATTCCCCACACATTGCCAGTACACTATTACGGTAATATTTACACCTACCCATGTCCAAATGGATCCTTGTTGTTGTCTTTGTATTCTTCTTCTTCAGAAGAGTTGAAAACTTCAGGTTCTGAGGCTCTATCTTCACTGCTGCTAGCGAAAAAAATCTCTAGCGAAGTCGGCAACTGTAAAGTTTTTTTTAGACATTTTCTCTGTCTCTCTCTCTCCCCTCACAGACCTAAACTGATGAGAGACACGTGGTTTATGTTTTGTTTACTTGGTGGGTAGGTCCTTAGTGATTTCTCGATGTCCATTGGTCATTTCAGATCATGATGGCTGCCGGCCGAGATTTCCTTGACGGACACACAAATCCACCAATCCCACACAGTGTAAAGTCAAGCTGCTTTGAGCGGCCATATTGGCTATTGTGCCCTGGTTACAGTCTCACAGGAGATACCGCTGGAAAGCTACTCATTCTAATTCTTACTAGATACAACCATGGAGGATTAAAATATAACGCATGCATTTCAGCGTGTCACATTAACTATCGCGGGCCGCCAGAAACATTTCCGAGGGCCGCCATTGGCCCGCGGGCCGCACTTTGAGAACCCCTGGTCTAAAGCATTTATTATTTTCATTTTACCCCTCTCATATTCAGTGTGGACGGATTGAGACAGCAAGGTGTCCAGAGAGCTGCAGAGACTTCAGGGAGAAACCTCCGTGTGATGGACGTCCAGTCCGTTGGTTTGGAGAGGACTGAGGGTCTTTCCTCAGCGAGGAGGACCAGGCCTGATGGAGGAGCCCATGCTGGGCAAAGCTGATACCAACTGCACAGGCCTAGTCTGTCACTTTATTTGACTACATGTGTTTACTTATACATTTAATAGGTTCACACCTTCTGTCCATATGTGCTTTTTATTTAAAACATTTGATTAAGTTTTGGTTCACATTAAAATAAATTGTATTTGCACTCCTTTTGTCCATTATTCTTACTGAAAATGTTAGATTACACATTCACATCTGACTGAAGATTGGCCCCATTTATTTGTGACGTTGCAAACTCTGCGGTACAAGGCACAGGTGATGTGAAGCTCATAAAGTGAGGCAAATATAAATAATCAGCAGATGGAGTGTAGATGTGGAAATAGGTGCATTCGATCAGCTGACTGTGTTTTCACAATAAAAGTAGTTTCTTAGTGTACTGGTCTTAAAATCTCATAACATCAGCTTTTAATGTTCCTCTTGGATGTTCTTCTTGACCCTCAGAGAAGGAGAAAATGTTGTGTCTTTCAGGCATGTCCTTCCTTTCCTAACAAAAATGACAGGAAACTGGGGTTACGTAATGTAACCCAGCTTCTATGAGTATAGGCGCAGCCTTCTAAGGCTATCGCTATTGGGTAATCCCCACTGCACGTGTGCAGCACTGACAGACTTATTCCACGCCCACCTATGACGTGGGCCCCACCTCCAGGCTCATTTCCGTATAAATAGGAAGTAGGCCTTACAATCCACTCCAACAGCTTTTCTTCAGCTATTCGCGGAACCAGTGGGGCCCGAACCTTAGAGGGCTGCACCTATACTCATAGAAGCTGGGTTACATTACGTAACCCCAGTTCTATATTGTATAAGGCTTCGCCCTCTAAGGCTATCGCTATTGGGTTAAGGGCGAAGCAAGATGTAGTCTACGCCCCACTGGTTCCGTCCGTTACCAGAAGCACAAAACACACCTACTCAGTTAATAACCCATGTCCATTTCGCCGTGCGTAAATGGAGCATCACCTTCCCAGGGAATATAGCATTAAAAAATGAATATTTCTCCATCAGGGAACGAAGGTCGGCTTACTCGGGCTACCTGTCGTTTCTAAAAAGTAGAGATCGAGTCTCACTTGTTAGGAACGATCAAGAGAGGGGAACAAAAGGCCGCTCTCTCAGTGCCGACAGGCAGGAGAGAGGGCATGCAATTGAAAACCCCCGACATTACTCATTGTGGCAGGCTATTCAGTACTGAATGTGTCAGAGATTAATGGGAGACATCCCTCAAATGAAAACGAATAAAAGAACAGGGTGAAGACCAAGATGCACTAATGCAAATGTCTTCCACTGTCATTCCTCCGTGCAACGCCGTAGAAGTTGATATTCTCCTGGTGCTGTGCGCTTTAATGTTTTCCGGGGGATCCAACCCAGAGGAAACATACGCCTGTGACACAGCCTCACACAGCCAGTGTGACAGGCGCTGTGCAGATAGAGGCAGCCCCATTGAGCGCTCTCTATAATGCACAAATAGACGCTGGGATTTGCGTAAAGCAGCCGTGCGTGCAACATAGCATGCCAGCGCGCGCACGGGACAGAGGAGATGAGATGTGGCTTCTTCCTCTGACGTGTGAGGAGGAGGAAAGAAGCCCTCCAAGGTTATCACTCTCGATCTAAACGAGCTTGTGATCACCTTTGGCATAAAAACCGGGTTCGGGCGCAACACCGCTGAGCTGCCATCTCCTTGGATCTGGAGACATGACGGAGCCACAGAGAGAGCAGACAAATCACTCACCCTTTTAGCTGATGTCAGAGCCAGGAGCAGAGCTACTTTGGCTGACAGAAACTTCAGGGGAACCGGATCCAATGGTTCAAAAGGGGCTTTACTTAGTGCGCGCAGCACTACAGCCAAATCCCATTGAGGCGCTAAAGCGCGTGATACCGGTCTGAGTCTCTGTACTCCTCGTAGGAAACGTTTTGTCAGAGGGTGAATAAACACCGTGCTGATCCCAAAACCTCCATGGCATGAAGAAATGGCAGCCGCATGTTTTTATTGTGCTATAGGCCAAATTCCTGTCCAGCAACAGCTGGAGGAATGACAGCACGTGAGGCAGGGGACACGCAACGGGGTCCACACCTTTCCCTACACACCAACGCTGGAACGCTGTCCATTTGGCTGTGTAAGACGCCCTGGTGGACGCGGCTCTAGAACCCTGAATAGTACTCACAACATTTTGAGAGAGGCCGAGCCCCTCTAAGTGTTCCCGTTCAGGGGCCATGCCCACAAACGTTGGCCTAACACTGGGTGACCGCTGATTGCTCCCTCTGCCTGGGAGAGAGCATCCCCCCGCCACGGAATTTCCCACGGTCTCCCTGACAGCATCCGCTGTATGCAGGGAAACCAGGACGCTCCCGTGTGCTCCGGGGCTATTAAGACCGCTATCAGTCGCTCCTCCTGCACTCGGTCCAGGAACCGAGGGATCAGAGGGACTGGTGGGAAAGCGTACAGTAATACCCTGGGCCAAGGTCTGTGTGCGAACGCGTCCACCCCCAGAGGGGGGTGATCCTGCCTTCTCAGGGAGAACTAGAGAGCACATTGCGCGTTCCCGCATGCAGCGAACAGATCTACCTCCGCTCTCCCGAACCTGCTCCACACTTGGGAGACCAGCTCGGGGTGGAGGCTCCAGTCTCCTTGTCGAGGACCTCCTCTGGACATGAGGTCAATCAATCAATCAATCAATGTTTATTTATATAGCCCAATATCACAAATGTTACATTTGTCTCAGTGGACTTTACAGTTTGTACAAAATATCAGTATGACAATACGACACCCTCTGTCCTTAGACCCTCACATCGTACAAGGAAACATTTCCGAAGAAAACCCATAGTTTAAAGGGAAAAATGGGAGAAACCTCAGGGAGAGCAACAGAGGAGGGATCCCTCTCCCAGGACGGACAGACGTGCAATAGATGCCGTGTGTAAATTGAAAAGATAATACATTTGCAACATAGGTAGTCCAAATGTTTGGAAATGCATGTGTGTATAATAGGAAGATGAATCCACGAGGATATCCATCCAGGACCTATGATCCAGGACCACAGCCACGATTCAAGATCCAGGGCTCGCGATGCAGGACACAGGAGCGCAGGATCATCCATGACTCCGGATCCCAGCGTATATAGACACCAAAAAGAAAGACATTTGGGGAAGCTGGGTTAATCGGAACATGAGAGTACACAGGTATAGACAGAGAGAAGGAAGAAGTAAGATGTCCCCCCGACAAACTAAGCCTATATCAGCAAAACTAGGGGCTGAATCTAATCAGCCCTAACTATAAGCTTTATCAAAAAGGAAGGTCTTAAGCGCACTCTTAAAAACGGATAGGGTGGTCTGCCGCCCCGAACACAAACTGGAAGCTGATTGCACAAATGTGGAGCTTGATAAGAAAAGGCTCTGGCTCCCATTGTACTTTTAGAGACTCTAGGAACAACCAACAACCCTGCATTCTTGGAACGCAATGCCCTAGTAGGACAGTAGGGTATAATGAGTTCTTTAAGGTAAAATGGCGCCTGCCCATTAAGGGCTTTGTAGGCGAGAAGAAGAATTTTAAATTCTATCCTGTGTTCTATAGGGAGCCAGTGTAAGGCAGCCAGAACAGGAGTAATGTGGTCCCTTTTCCTAACTCTGGTTAGTACACGAGCTGCAGCATTTTGAATCAGCTGAAGCGACTTGACTGACTTCTTGGTACACCCTGATAATAAAGAGTTACAATAATCCAGCCTTGAAGTAACAAATGCATGGACTAGTTTCTCTGCATTGTTTTGAGGCAAGATATGCCTGATTTTTGCAATGTTACGTAGGTGGAAGTAGGCGGTCCTTGAAATTGATTTTATGTGGGCGTTAAAGGATAAATCCTGATCAAATATAACACCAAGATTCCTTACAGTCTCACTGGAGGCCAAATTAATGCCATCCATAGTTAGTATATCCTTAGATAATTTGTTTCGTAGATTCTTCGGGCCAAGTACAATAACTTCAGTTTTGGTCGTGTTTAACATCAAAAAGTTTAAGGTCATCCACGTTTTTCAGTCCTTAAGGCAGTCTTGAATTTTATTTAGATGATTAATTTCATCAGGCTTGATTGATAAATATAGTTGAGTATCATCCGCATAACTGCAAATTTACAGAATGATTCCTTATAATATTGCCTAACGGAAGCATATATAATGTGAACAAAATAGGTCCGAGCACTGAGCCCTGTGGCACTCCATGGCTAACTTTGGTTTGCCTGGAAGATTCATCATTGACACGTACAAACTGAGAGCGTTCTGATAGATAGGACCTAAACCAGCCTAAAGCAGTTCCCTGTATGCCAACTAAGTGCTCTAATCTTTGCAATAAGATATCATGGTCGATAGTATCAAATGCAGCACTGAGATCGAGCAAAACAAGAATAGAGACACGTCTCTTGTCTGAGGCTATTAGAATGTCATTTGTGACTTTAACCAGAGCTGTCTCTGTGCTATGATATGTTCAAAGCCAGACTGAAAATCTTCAAATAAATCATTGTTTTTTAAGTAATCACACAACTGTTTTGCAACCGCTTTCTCAATAATTTTTGAGAGGAACGGAAGATTAGAAATTAGTGTTGTCACGATACCAACATTTTGGTTTCGATACCGACACCAAGTCAAGAATTGCGATTCCGATTATTTTTCGATACTTTTCTTAAAAAAAGGGAAACAGTCTTAAATGTAATTATTGTGCTTTATTTCACACCAGAACCATAACCATAACACAACTTTTAAACAATGAGAACAATAAACAAAATAAATGACAATAATTCGTATTAAATAAAATTAAGCATCATCTCAAACAACTTTTTTGTTTTATAAAATATATTTTTAAAATATTTTATTAACATGTACAGTAATATAAATAATTATTGACAAAATGTATATTACAGATGTTAGCCACATTGGTAAGTTAGCTAAAAAGATAGCCATATTAGACAGTTATCATTGCCATTAATTGCCTCGTCAAACTACGAAAACGTTCGTTTGTCACAAAATAAATTACACTTGTTTGACTTAGATTTGAGGGCATGGGCTTGAGCATGATGTAATTATGTTATCTATCACATTCGCTAACCTGTCTGTCTTTAAATTATTTAAACAGCTCTGGATTCCGGTCGGCGGGTGCTTAGCCAAGTCTGATGTGTTGGCTCCCTTGGTTTGCAGGGATCTAAAACATTTCTCACAGACAGGCCTCGTGGTGTCCGTAGGCTTGCCCTCACTGTCAGAGATATAGCTCAAATACTTCCAAATTTCGCTTCTGGCGTCTTTTTTGTCAACAAGCCGAGGCGCAGCGGCAGTTGCACTCCCACTTGCAGCCATGCTTCTCGTTTTCTCTATGCTCTGGCAGCTAGCGCGTGGCCGCGTGCACGAGAGAGGGGAGGGACTTAGAGCGTGCTTGAGAGGGGCGGGACTGCAGGCACGTACGGCTGCAGTGCAGGGAGTGGAAGCAGAGCGCTGAACACACACGGCTCTTATTAAAACGGCGCTTTCTCACCGGAGTACTTTTCCCCGTCATTCTTAAAGTACCGATACTAATTAAACGGAGGAATCATACCGTTTTTAACGGCAGAGTATCGCGGTACCTTTCAAGTATCGGTACACCGTGCAACACTATTAGAAATAGGTCTATAATTGTTAGGATCTGTCTGTGTTGTAGTTTTGTATGTCTGGTTATGGGTATTTTCATCCTTGTATATTGTCTGGTCCTTCTTCCTGTGTTTTTCCTCCCGTCGTTAGTTTCCCTGGTGTGTCTAGTTGTCTGATTGTTTTCACCTGTGGCCCTTGTGTTTCTCCTCCCCTGCCCGGCTGTGTCTCGTCTTGTGATTACCCCTTCCTGTATTTAGTCTTGTCTCTTCCTGTGTTCAGTGTCGGTTCGTCTTGTGTTGTGAGTAAACTGCGGTGAGTGTTCTGTTCTGTCTCTGAATATTGTAGCCTTGAAATAAAGGAATTATTTTGTCACTTAAATCTGCATTTGGGTACTGCTTCCTGCACACCGTAACATTACGAACCGACCAACAATGGACCCAGCGGATTTTATTTATTTTGATTTGGACTTGTTATCCCTAGAGTACACTCTTCAGTGTCATTATGCTGTATGGAGTAGAACCTTGGCTAAAAGGGACAAAGAGGCTGTCCTCAAAAAGGCACAAATGGAGGTGGACAACATGCCATGGTTGAGAGGCTCATTGCCTGAGTTTCTCAGAGTTTTCTCACGCAGCCCTGAGTGCCAGTCTCCATTCTCTGACCCTTTCTTGGGATCCCGCCTGGCGTTTGGAGGTCCACGGAGCCTCCAAAAGACTTCTAAAAGACGCAAGGTCAGGAAGCCAGCTCGTACTCAGGTACCGGTCCTAGCAGCCATGGTTCCGGCTCCAGAGCCGGCCCATACAGCCATGTTTCCGGCTCCAGAACCGGACCTTACAGCCATGTTTCCGGCTTCAGAACCGGACCTTACAGCCATGTTTCCGGCTTCAGAACCAGACCTTACAGCCATGTTTCCGGCTTCAGAACCGGACCTTACAGCCATGTTTCCGGCTTCAGAACCGGATCATACAGCCATATTTCCGGCCATGGTTCCAGACCTAGTACAGTCCCCAGCAGCCATGGTTTCAGCCCCAGTTCTGGCCCGAGCAGCCATGGTCCCGGCCCCAGTCCCGGCCCCAGCTGCCACAGTCCCCTCTCCAGTTCCCCCTCGAGTCCCCTCTCGAGTTCCTTCTCTAGTCCTTCCTCTAGCCCCTCCTCTAGTCTCTCCTTTAGTCCCCTCTGGAGTCCCCTCTGGAGTCCCTTCTCTAGTTCCTCCTCTAGTCCCTCCTCTAGTCCCTGCCGGGGGTCCTGCCAACCCCATGTCCTGTCCCGTTGGGGGTCCCGCCGACTGCCCTCCTGCCGGGGGTCCTGCCAACCCTATGTCCTGTCCCGTTGGAGGTCCCGCCGACTGCGCTCCTGCCGGGAGGTCCTGCCAATCCTGTGTCCTGTCCCGTTGGGGGTCCCGCCGACTGCCCTCCTGGCGGGGGTCCTGCCAACTCCTGGTCCTCTTCCGTGGGGGATCCTGCCGAGGCCTGTCCCACCAGCGCCGGTTCCTGTCCGGCCGACACCGGGTTCTGCCCGGCCTCCTGAGAGTCGCGGTCTTCGCCCTCGAGCCCGGCCCCCTGAGAGCCGCGGTCTTCGCCCTCGAGCCCGGCCCCCTGAGAGCTGCGGTCTTCGCCCTCGAGCCCTGCCCCCTGACTCTTCCTGCCACTGCCTTCGCCCCTCCATAACCCCCTTTTCAAGCTCTGCCTTGCCCCTGGGCTGTCAGCCCAAGCCCGTCCTCCAGACCCCCTCCACCCACCCTGTTGGCCCTAGTTTTGTGTCCCTCCTCCGGTCCCCCTCCACCCACCCTGGTGGCCTACTATTGTAGCCTTGAAATAAAGGAATTATTTTGTCACTTAAATCTGCATTTGGGTCCTGCTTCCTGCACACCGTAACAATAATTGGCTAAAACCTCTGGATCGAGG